TCAGCACAGTCTGAACTCTCTGAGGCAGCTTTCTTGTTTCTCCAAACTTCTTGAAGGACTTTCAAAGCTCGCTGTGGATTTAAGCGTTATTTTGTTTCGTTCTCTGTCATGCTAGTTTATCTCACACTGCTTCAGTCATGTTGGGATCCAGGCTCTGGGGAGTCCAGTCCACCACTGATAGTGTTTCACTGTGTGTTTTACTGTCCAGGTGTGTTTGTTTGGGATCAGTAGATGGATCAGCTGGAGGGCCAGATGCAGCTCTCAGGTTCTCTGTCATGTCATTGGTGGATTTTGTTTTTCTATTTCTTAAGGACACAAATTTTAGATGTTCATCTGCTGTAAACATATTTTAGACCTACACTTCTTCTTTTGTCCTTTCACTTGTCCAATTTCCTCATTTTTTCAGGACACCTGGACCATGCACATATATGCCATGTTTTCAGTTAGTAGCTCTTTGGAAATCACTTTGTTGGTGCAAAAATACCATTTTCTGTCCATTAGACTGTTTGAAAATATCTGTGTGGATGGAGTTTCCTGAGGAGCTTACTTTGATTTCAGCATTAAGCTGATTCTGTTTGTTAAAATGTGAATTTTAAGAACTGCAATTAAATTATTTAACAAAAATCCAAAGAACAACTTAAAAAAGAAAACTAAAATTAAAATGATAAACAAACATGTACTTTATAACTCTAGTTCATGTTATCATCTTATATATTTATATCTTTACACAGAGAAACATTCATTACATAACTGATGCTGTTCTTGGATCATCCTGATCACTGTTTCTCAGAAACGGCACACCTGTAGCTAAACAGTCGTCCAACTTCATTCCTGCGTGCTGTGGATCATCTCCTGGTATGACCTGAGCTGAACTCTTTCCAGTCACAGCAGCTCCCAGGAGAACATTTTGATAATTTTTTTATAGATAATGAAAACAAACACACTGAAGCTGAGAACATATGCTTCTTTTAAATATGAGAAGTTTTAAAAAATAACATGTTTTACTGATAAAAAGAAAAATTAGAAGTATATTTTACTGTCATGAAACTGAGGGCAAGAAACCACAAAGTGTGTGAAAATGTTATGCAAAACCTACAGCTGTGTCAGCTGGAAGAGAAAAAAAACATGCCTTTGTTTTAACCTTTGCAGTAACAATGGTGACCATAAAATATGGCTTTATTTTTACCAGGTAAGCAAAAATATTTAATCTGCTCTGCACATGATTCATTTCCTATAAAAGTGTCCATGTGTATTTACACATCAAGCTGCTGATATTAGCATGAGGCGATTCTGAGGACAAGCTTGAAAGGAGAATATATAGCTCGGGTCCTCTACCAGAGGCCTGGGAGCTTGAGGGTCCTGCGCAGTATCTTAGCTGTTCCCAG